TCATCTCTCCCCCCTTTCAGCATGAGATAGTACGCGTACTTGGGCAATGTACTACCTGTAAGTTTTCACTCCTGTTTCCTCCATGTCATAGAACAGTGTAATGGAAACTCTTACACATTTGGAAAAGTCAACTTAGATGCAAGGAGAGCACTAGTCTCAGACAGTATACATGTAGTTTGCCTACATGTATGGAGTTAGTACTGCATACTTTTGGTTGGTTATCCGTTTCTGTTTTAAAGCAAATATTGTCTTTGCTTTGCAAATTTGCCAGCTTAGTGGCTTTAAGGAAGGCCATGTTCAAATTACTTGGCTGAGGCTAGAGATGACGCAGAAGTCTATGGTAGTGGTTGTAGACAGTTCTTATGATAGAGTCGTGTGTAATTTCAAGCCACTGCCAAGTGATTCGGAAGCGGCCAAATTGGCCCAAAGTGTTTAACAGTTTGTTCAACCCTGGATGCTGTACTACAGGTTTTGCCAAATATAACAACCAGCTTTTTACATGTAGTTCTTCAGACAGATTCAGAAACTTGCAGCTTGGTGACTGAAGACTCTCAGTGGAAGGCTCAGTCCACTCTGAAAACATGTCATTACATTACTTTATCGTGTCTGATTTCAGAGGATCCCAAAATCTTACCAGTGGAAAAGGCAAGGGGAGTCTGGGTTGAAACTGAAGACTTACTGTGATTCAGTTTTTCAATTAGAAAATATGCAGATAGTCCCTCTTTGTTTGACCTTTTGCTAGAAAGTAGAAGGAAATTCAGCCAGGGTTTGGAAGCTGCGATTTCAGCACAGATAAGCCCCCTGACTAATCTATCATGAATGCCCGCCTTTCATTTGGCCTGCCATGCCATGGTAAAGCAGCGGCGATGAGTCAAGGCCCTGTTGCATCGCAAATGAAATTACGACTATCGGTGACCCGATCAGTCCCTGGCGCATGGCGTTGATTTGCCATCCAGAGTTCGTCTTCCTGCAACACGGGCTCACATGGCCGCCAAGGATGTGCATATCTTGTCATCCCACATTACCCGGCAAGCAAGTGATGCGTTTATCTCCGTGGTGATCAAGGGTGGTGTGGTATCATTGTCGAGTTGGTGATTGACGATTCGTAAAAGTACGAGAAATGAGACCTGACTTTGATCACTTCCGCACTTGTGGCATTCAAGGGAAACGGTGTAATGCCATCCGTTATGAACAAAATTTCAATGTTTGTTCTGTGTACTTCTTTTGAAGAGCACTTTTTCAGATTTGAAGTTTTCAAGGTCAAGGTGAAGTTAAGTAGGTTTGCGGTAGCACCGTGAGAAAGTATTTCCTTGGTGAGTATGTGTGGTTCTGAACATTACCTTTCGGTTCTTTTCAGAACCACAAACATTCACAAAAGAGAGATTTTCGATTGGTGCTACCGCAAATTTATTAATTATCAGAGCATCAATGTTGAAGGGCTTGTGGCACCCTGTCATGTCCGTACAAGAAGAGATTGTGTTGCTGCTCAATCTTTTTTTGTTGGTGCTGTTGACGCTGCTGTTGTCACTTGTGTCGCATTGGCCTGTTCTTGATTAAAGTTTACCACAATGAGACCTTGTGTCATATCTGATAGCATCCCAAGTGATAAAACCTCCTGGTTGTGCGTGCTGTCATTGCCAAAGTTTTGAGTGGTTGAAAATTTATTGCAGGTGCCAGTCCCAAAATGCCGGAGGGCTCCCCAAGAAGAAACAAGCCCTATCCTGAAAACTACAGTCTGATTAGGGGAAAAAAATTCTCCAGAGAATCTTCAGCTGTGCATTATTATCCGCCTTGGGTAGTACAACAGCACCCTTTCATCAGTTGAACAGAGCCTTTTTGGTCGGGAGTGTTCGTTTTGCTGGTACAACGCGCCTGTAACACGTGTATTTTGTAGTCATTTGTGAACCAGCGAACTGCAGTTCCAACCAAAAGAGCTGCCATTGCTGGGAACATTACGCCCTCTCTTGGTCTAGGTCTGGGCTCATTGCCCGTGTGAAGATTTCTTAAATGTCAAGTCTGCATGTTTCTTGTGTCAAAATAATACTCCTTTCACCTGTGAAGTACTGTACATGTATGTGTATATACAGTGTGCTGATAACCTGTTAGCCATATGCTGCCGGGTTTAATTTGAAGTTACATGACGTATTCTCGGGGGATTTTCAAAATTTTCCATTTTCGAAATTCCTCAAAAAATCACAACTTCATTCACTGGTTGTTTATGCCCACACAAATGACTGTCTGGTGGCTACTCTAATCTGACAGACAATATCTATTGGCGCCCGAGTATTTCAGCCGGGCCCGCCGCCTTGTAAAGAGAGCCCAGATTGTGTGGTGTTACACATTATTTTCTTTTGTTCCCAAAATTGGCCCCGCGGACTGCTGGGGTCTTTTCGACTGCTGACCATGCAGTGTTATTTGTATTGCTCATCCTTGAACCACTGGAGCGCTTTTGTCCCCAGTGGTAATCCGCTCGCCTTGAATGCCACAAACAGTGGTATAATCATTCAAAACAATGACAGATTTCCTCTGCTATTGACAACTGAAAAAATGTCGACAATTCCCAGTAGCCCGGTCTTTTGTTCCGAGTACGGTCTTTTGTTACAAGGCCAAGCTCCTTTGTCTGTTTTCGGGCACCCCGGCTATGCGTACAAACCCAAGATACCCGGTACCGGGCACCCTGGCACGAAGTTATTGCATTTTTTAAAAGAAGGAGGTAGAAAAAAAGAGGTGTTGACAAGGCACCTGGAGGGCAAATAGGGGCACTCAGCAGAGTCAATGACTGCTTTGTAAATTAGATCGTTTCCGACTTGACACCTAAGGTGGAGATTGAGACTATCAAGCATCCCGGGGGGAAGGGCGGGAGTGTAAGGTCCCCTTTGTGAGCTAGAAGGTGATAGCATATCGAGAGAAACATGGCCGTCACGGTCAGCACAGGCTTCACATTCTGATTGGAGCAACACGATTGCGTGGACATGCTGAGTGTTGTTTGAGTCTGGCTTGCATTTATCGCAAGATTGTCAGCTGCACCCATCCAGCATAACTGATGGTAACCAATCTAAGTAGAGGATGTAATGGCTGGATTCAATTAGTCTGAGTGCTGTGGTTGTAGCTGTTTCTGATTGAGCCCATTCTTATTACTGGGATGAGAATCATTAAAAAGTTAGAGATTTACGATTGTCCCGTAAATCAAACTGATGCACTGAGTTTCACCCCACTGTTCCTAATTTCCCCTGCTGTGGATATCTGCACGTACACGGTTGTCTGCTTCACGTAGCGCCGTCATGTGAACATGTCTCCTCTCTTACAACTTGCAGCAATCTGTCACCTCTTCCTCGTTTGCCCAACTCGCTCCCCCCCCTACCTATGCTCCACTGACAGGCTTCCCTCAATCGAATTCTCACCCTTCTTATGTCCCTTTAGACCCTCTGTGAACCATGGTTAAGTGGTTCCACATGGGCCGCCTCCCCTATGCTTCCCCACACCGCGCTGCTTGCGTTCACCCATCACGCCGTCTGGTTATTCCACAGCAAAGCGTGAAGCACATCCTGAATTTTTAGCTTTACTCAGCTGTGAGGGTTATGTTTTTTATGTTATTAATCCGGGTTTCACTTTCGACCCCAAAGGCATTGAAGAAGGCAACACATCTAGTTGAAAGGTCACTTTTTTCCTGCTTTGCCAGAAAAGGCGGAATTGTTTGGACTGGGAAAGGGAAATTGAGTCAAGTTTTTCTGGGTAACCATTCTGCTTGTTATTTCATTGAGTTCTAGTTTTAATCTGACCCCAGCAAGGATTTCATCCTTTACTTGAGCATTTGCTGTGGATGTACATGTACACCAATGAATAAATATAACATGTACGGTGTAGCATACGTTCTGGAGGAATTTAAAAGTGTATACATTTAAATACATTTATGCAGTTCTAGGCTTGACCTCATACATGTATTCTGACATTGAATCTGACATTGTGCTGTTTGCTGTGGGCATTGCGGGCTCCACCTTGCCTCTACTCAGACTTCCCCAGATCTCAAATGCGCGGCAGCATGGGACGTATTCGTGCACTTGTGAATATTTGAGTTGACCTCATGCTGGAGGTCAAAAACATAACAAGGCTTAGATTCTGTATCTTGAGACATTGGAGATGTGAAAGATTGTTGTTGAAAGTGTGCCATCGGCAATACATGGTAACAGCATTTGTCCCAGTAGGGTGTTTTGGTTGCCCCATTGGTAGTGAGCCAATACAGATTACTGTCAGAAAGCCTTATGTTTCAAACTACAAAATCATATCAATCAATTATAACCAGCCACTACATCATGCACTATGTGACTGCAAAAGCTGTATATCTCGTTCGTTTAAGTCACCTCTGAACACCGAGCACTGTTTCTCTCAAGTCAAGATCAAAGATGAAGTTGTGCAGATAATTTTGTTCTGTATTTAGTTTCTTATTTTGGATGACCAAACCAGACTCTCCCACAGCAGGGCTCTATTTAGGGCTTGCCTAAGGGTGCAGCAGGCTAACTGATTTTATTTCATATTCTAATCATTATTAATAAGAGGCAGATACATTGTACTTAAAATCTCACATGAACGCTTTGTACATGTAGCTTTTTACAATCAAAGCACTATCCGCATACATTCGTTTATGCTGAGAAACTTCAGAAAAAATAAAGGCGTTGCAATGTACAATGCATTGTACGACTTCATAGGAATCTGGTGGTCTATCCAGGGCAAAATAGGATTTTTTCTTTTTAAAAAAAGCCAATTTTTTTTCATCCATAAAAGGGTGCTCAAACCCAACCCTTTCCCCTGAAAGGTGATTGTACCGTTTTGGAAGTATCATTGCTTAAAAAAAAAGGAAACAATTTGGCAACATGTCACGAATGTGGGAGGGGAGCTTCCCCTTTGCCTCACAGTTGGATGAGCCACTGATTGCAATTGAGCATTCCCGTTTGTGACTCAAGTTTCTTATTTGGTTTGATTTGTCTGTTCACTGTTTGTCTCAGTAGAAATAAGCCTGCGGTTGCAACACCCCAGATGACGGATGCCAGGGAAAGGCTCAGAATGAACCACCCTGTAGCCACCAGCAGGCAGGGTCTCCTAGCTTACCAGGCCAGTGACGACAACAGTGGCAACAGCGGCAATGAGAGCGACACGGGTGGCGGCTTCCTCACCGGCTCCATTCCCAACCTGAAGATCATGCTATCCAATGACGGCAATGCTTGGGATGATGACGACGACGATGAGGAAGATGATGACGATGAGGGAGATGACGCGGGAGCGGGAAATGAGGTGGCTCCACCCAGAGGTCTCCCGGATCTCAGGAGCCGGCTGAAAAATCGGCACTCCCATCCACACATCCTAGACACCCTTCCCTCCTTGTCAGTACAGGTGGATCGAGATGATATCTGATAAGACAACAATCACAAATCTGAAATAGCTTCTCCCTTTGAAAATAATTGATCTTGAACTGTACATTAGATGTTAATATAAGACATTGTTGTAATTAAAGATCACAGAATTCTCCAAAGGGTCAATTGGTATTTTGTTTGTCAAACTTGAAAATAATAATCTGTGAGCCGATGCATTACCGTGTCAGTGCAGTGAAATGCTGATGGGTTAGCCAATTAGCACCATTTTTTCTATCAAGCATTATACAGTGAGATTTGTCCCAAATAGCCTGCTCCTTCCTTGATACCATTTTTGAGTTGGAACAGACCAGCAGTGTTGATTGTTGAGGGAGAACTTGTGACCACTACATTGTAAGTCATGACAGGGTTGAGTAGCCAGTTTATAGAAGAAGACATCTCAGCGAAATGCCTATGTTTGTTTAGACAAAAAAAATTGATTTCTTACCAAGCTAAATGGACATGCAAGTAATGCAAAAAATAGTTGTATTTATTATTTGTGCCAGCGGGGCACGTTGGCACTCTTTGTACAAATAAAGCTACATGTACCTATGTGTGGCCAAAAGTGCATCACCTTCAAAATTTAACTCCAAAGTTCACATTGTAGAAACTGTTGAAGCTGTTTATCTTCGCAGTGGCATCTGTGCCACTGTGAGCAGCCATCTTGACACAGTTTCTGCATGCCATAATTTAACTTAAATTTGGCAATTGTTAACATTTATGCTCATATTTTTGCTGGTGAATTATGGCCCTAGCAAATTCAATTCGTACTGAATGATCACTGACAACCAGTTCCCAGGGTCCAATATCAAGTTTTGGAAAATTGTCTCACCATTTAAAAGGTAAATGGTACCAGTTTTTGTCTTCTTTTCCTACTTGTAGAATTTCCTCTGTAGATATGTAATGCTATGATGTAGGAAAAAAGAGTTGTACTATTTTATCTCAGATTCAGTTAAGCAGATTTCCAATTAAGAAAGAATACTAAAGAAAATGTATTACGTGGAATTCTTTTTAAAAAAATTGCAAGTACTTGAGATTTGCAATAGAGATCCAGGTGCCAACTCCAGATTGCGTTTGTAAATATACTGTTTTAAGAATACTCCATTCTTTTTCACAAGTGTCTGATAATCTGTAAAAGTTTGTAACCTTCTATAAACCCTAACAGTCCTCAGTCCTCCAACAGGTGAAGGATTGAAGACTGTTAGGGTTAATTATGACTTGCATTTTTAACATGACTGTCTCCATTACTGGGATGTAAACAAACTTGTGGGGCTCTCCTAATCTATGCTCCCTCTACTGTGTAAGTGTAAAGAATTTATTTATTGCTAACGGGAACTATTGAGCAATTTCAAAATTGTGAAGTTTCATTGATGATGAATAGAGATGAACTTATGAAGGACAGGTGTACTGTGAGCCCTGAGAGGCTTTGAGGTTCAGCTATTACTTTAGCTACCAGAAGTCCCAGAACTCTCCATATTTCCCCTCTGGGGAAGATGGAAGATTATCAATGGCAAATACAGGGTGTGTGCCCTCAACTCTTAGAGGATATAAATAGATAAAGTTCCAGGAAATGTGCTTAGACACATCCCTTCTGATAAATATTGATGTTTGCATGTACATGTACAAGGAGAAATAATTTTGCCCACATTTTCCCCCGGCCAAATGTCGCTGAATGTCCAACAGTGGGCCTGAATTTGAGCACAGTCAGATCCAAAAATGTGACCAAATCCACACAAAAATCACTCAGATTCATCCCACCTCAGCTTTAAATAGAGAACTTTATCCCATTTCCTGATTTGCAGTGATAAAGTTGAAGAAAAACACCATCAACAAATTTCATCAGTAGGGTCTGGAGGCGAGGGGCATCAAAGTTTGTCTCTACTCCTTAATGGATTTTCTATTTAAATTCAGAATTTTGTCCATTTATAATTCACACATTATCATCAAAAATGGCTTATGCTTGCCGACTCTTGTACCTGAAGATGTAAAAATATGGAGTTATATTATTAAAGGATGGGGTAGCAGATGTGTATAGAAATATTCTGACAGAATATACTCAAATTAGAGGACTGGGAGGATTTAATAAAGAGTAAAGATATCAGTGGGCTGAAAAATGGATTTATAGACATGTATTTTGTGCTCATTTTTGTTGTAAGATTTTATTTCACAACAGACTTTTTTGTTTGGATGGCACATGGAATTTTTAAGTAGCAGAATAGAGCAATTGCCCTTACAAGACATGTTTCCGCATGTGGCATTTTTTAAACTTCAAAATGCCCGCAAAGACAAATCGTTTTGAATGTGTTGGAAATTCAGAGGGAAATTCTGTACTCTTTTTTTTTTACAGTTAAGCGGAGGCATATTCACTGAAACTCAATTTTTTAATCCTTGTGCAGCTTGGTAATAGGCATGCAAGAACAACATTCCTTGCAGACTTGACGGATGAAGTAAACGTGGACTTTTTATCACGAAAGATCTTCACGTTGAAATTTGTTGGGTTCTTGCCTTCTGCATAACCTTTGAACAAATCGCTCAGTGGAAAGACTGAACACCCAATTCAAATTCCAAATGGGTTTTATAGTATGTGATATTGCCCTTTTTACTCGTCTGGTGTACGTGTAAACCGTAAGATGTTTCTGATACCATTAAGTCCACAGCTGTAAAATATTTCGGTTCTTAATACATTTGTAAAAATAAAAGAGATGCTGCTTAAAGCCGTATCATGTGGACACCAGGTTCATCCAAGTTGGGATGGATAGTCCACTTGCGGCAGTTTACAGCACAACCGAGTCTCATTTCAGTCAATTCTTTCGTGCTCTTTTTATTTTCAAGCGAGGAACTCCACAATTTAGTTATGGACATTAGATGTAAGTTAGGAAACTTCCTCAGGCAGTCCAGAATGTGACCTACATGTCTGTTGCCGTCATGTAAAAAGGGTCTTGATAAGCCGTATCCATTAAAATGTAACATTGCAGTGTCTGCTTTGCCAAGCATTGGATCGTGGTGAATAGTCTGGCTGTGTCTTATAAATACATGTATGTAGCTAGCTGTGGCTTAAAGCAACATACTCATCTGTGGAAAGTTGATTTGGCAGTTTTTGTTAGCTTACGTGTTGTAACTGGATGCATTCACATTTCAGATGTGGCCACGTTGGTTCCACTTTGGGGAGTAAGATGTCCATTGATAAAACATTCTGACTGACTTTGAGACAAAATGTGTTTTGGGTTGGTGGATCTGTTGATGGACTGTATTGCTTCCCTGTATCATTCAACGTTGCCATCGGGGAAGTGACATTCAATTGGAACACGATTCGGGATGAGTTGCCTATACACAAAACCAGGCAAAGATTTATGAGTGCACGCTACATCATTCACTCCAGGAAACTGTCGCACGATGGAAGGAATGTGAGCGCAGGACTGTCCGTCGACACCAGGGTGGCACGGCGGTAAGTTAACATCTGGAAGCTCTTTACAGTGGGATGACTCACTGGTCCCTTGCTCATAATCATGTAACTTGGAATGTGACAGCTGGGAACAAACCACGCACGTACTGAATCGCGGGCCAGTCTGGCTTATCCCCCGTTTCACTAAATATAGCACGGCAAACGTTGCGCGTTTGGCCTGGCATTTGTACGTGAGAATGAAGTCGGTAGTAGTGGACTGTTACTGGTAGTTTTAAGGGTGCTGGTTTAAACACAGCGGAGAAGTAAAAGGGACCTCTTCTGTGATTACCTTTCTCCTCTTAGCAGCAAAGTCTAACTACTGGGGACATAAGTGTCGCATTTGGTTTTTGCATTTTGCCACTCCATTGGAGGAGGAAAAGGTACATTTAACGGCGAATAAGCCCTGTTGAGCTCTCCCTGCCTCAATCCTACAAAATCCTACCAAACCTTATGGATTTTGAAGGATGTGGGAAAGATGGGGTTTACACTTGGCAGTTTACCTCTGAATTTTGTAAGCTAGAAGAGTGAAATGAAAAAACTTACAATTCCTGTCGGAGCAACAACCTACCCCACATTTGTGACACTTTCTAGACAAACCTTGCAAAGTAGTCAGACTATAGAAGTTCTGCATGGCAACCATTTTTCCGGTAAGAGCTTCCCTGCCACACAGATACACGAGTAGACCTTTTGTACTATCCCTCCCGCGACAAAAGCAGTTACCAGAAAGATGGCTGCCATGCAGAACCTCTATAGGTTTTTAAGGTTCTGATGTGTTTAGATTTTCCAGTGCAATTTCAATTGATTGCAGCACTATTCATTCGGTTTATCCCTTCCTTTAATTCTGTAAGAGGCAATAGACGTCAGTGTCGGATATAAATACTTGTTATGCTGCATCAGGTTCATAAATTAACCTGCGGCTCTGGTTCATGAGGTAGGGAAAGGGAATGTGGTCTGCTTGCAGTTTTGCAACACTTCTTAAAAAGAAAACAATCTGTTACTGTATAATATATTCAAATACATAAAATGGCTGACGTGGACTAGCCACAGCATAGTCAATTATGCATCAGTGCAGAGACACACTGGAAGTCAGTCATCATCAACTTCACTTTGCTTTTAATCCTGTTGACCTGATCATCTGTGGATTGCACGGGAAAACAAAACAAAGTAGGGCTGACAGTTACAAATCTAAATTTGAAATTCAGAGAAAAAAATACAAATACAAATTCTTAAAGTCGGTCTTGTCGGCAAATACGTACCTGTCAACTTGTAAGACGTTCGATCAGGCTCATTGTTAACAATATACATGTACATCATGAAGTGTCAAAATGGGGAAAGATGCTGTTAGAGTTGGCTGTTAAGGGTTGACATGAGGTGTTTTCCTTGGATGGTGACCCAATACAAAGAAAAATACAAGTCAATAACATGACATCTGATGGAGACTTTTGAATCCCAGTAAAACTGAAAAATGATTTAGTTTTTGAAAAAGCTGGAGCATGAAACCTTTCAGCTCAGTGGCCAGGATACGTGGATTTATGCTGCCAACCATGTTATTCGGTGCTTGAGATTCTCCGAGACTATATGGGTGTGTACTGCACATGTACAGGGTCTGCTGCGAGGTAGAAATGTATACTTCACTCTCGGGGGTTTAACGTACTTTGAAGGAAATGCTGACTCAAACACCATCACTCAAGATTAGCAGCAGAGTACTTTGTTCTGCGTGATCATTTTTTTTTTTTGGGGGGGGTGTGGGAGTGAGTTTCAAAGTACCCTCGAGGATCAGTGAGGTGCTACCCTAGTTTCATACAAGAGGGCCACTGTGTATTCTACCAGACTGGTTGAAGTACAGGTCAGGTTTGGAGCTGGATTTGTTACACAGATAAACTTCACTCTAAAAATCAAATAATCCCTCGACAACACAGGCGTCGTGAAGGCCAAATCCAAGGTTCAAATCGTGGTCTGGTCTCGGCTCCACCTGATTTGATGAACCATTATAAAAGTTAAACTAACAAAACTCTTTCCCTACTTTCAGAAATCTTCTATGGTGAATAGCCCCTAGTGATGTGACCAAATTGTTCACCATTCCATAAACCTACATCAACACCGAATACACACCATAATTTCTCCAGACTATGGAATGACATACACTACTTCTCGAACTGAAATCCCAAAATGGCAAAACAACTTCCAGTAAAAGTCTCCACATAAGTCAAATAAATAAGTGCTATAAATTTTAGAGATGGATATCTTTAGGATACCTGAAAATGTGTATAACTGTCAATACACTTGAGGGACTGCAATACAGGCCTTCTATATTGCTGTTAGATTTTGTACTTGCCTTTGAGGACCTTGGTCTAGCCTGTGTAGAATGGTGCCTTTGGATAGAATTAGTCCAACCTTCCACATATTAACAATACAAACACACTATAAATACCAGTAAAATCATGTAAGTGCCTTAAATGCAGCACGAGAATTAGGAAAAAAATTGACCGTCACGACTTTTCATATTCCTCGACCAATGCAACTTGATGCTCAGTCCCGGCCTGGAGACACCCAGAGGACAAGCATAAATACAGACGCAACATTAGTGTGGACACAGACCGGCTTACCAAACAACATGCACTTTTTTGCCAGGCATTAAGAAAAGTAAAGCAGACCTGTTACACTGAACAATTTTCATTTACACTCCAAAATGGCGGCACTCCCAGGGCGGCGTCTATGTCCTCTGGTAGTACAGCATGTAGGCCTTCTGCGAAAAGACCTCCTTCGCCGTGGACGTGTACACACACTCGTCAGAGATGCACAGCCAGCTGTCACTGAGGGGTTCGTTGCCAACAGAGGGCGCCCTTCGGAAGGTCAGGAAGTGGCCGGAGAATGCATCGCCCACGTGCACCACTGCCGAGGCGAGTCGGTACCTGGCCTCCGTCGGTTTCAAGCTGTGCAGGGTAAGGAAATCAAATTAAAAATTTAACTACAGACCAATCTACTAACCAGAAGTATTCGTAGAAGCCATATTAATTACCATAGGTGATGTCATGTATGGGTGGAGACTAATTGACCAGTGGGATTGCCAGAACGCATGTAGGCCTAAAATTTCAAGATGTGAAACCTGTGCATTAGTGAAGCATTGTCCTGGTAATGCATGGTTTCCACGTTAGCTTGCAGGATCAGTCTACATGCAGCAGAGATGGACACATGCATACTTGTGGACAAAGCTACAGCATGTAGGGTGTGGCTTGTGGGCTGGATATACATATCTTTATTTCTTACAACAATCACTTCCTCCGAGTATGTAGCTTGTGTCATTCCCAGCAGCCATCGCCACATTCTTTGTCCATGACAGACGACAAGTTTTGAAAAATCTATTCACTAAAACCCAAACTGTCTCATACTGGTACCCTGCATCCGGAATCCCATTAACTTCACCGCTGTGATCTGTCACTCTCGTTCTGCCGTTGCTGTCCTCAGCTGTTCCTGTTGCATGATGGGATATCCTAGGGGACATCTGACCCAGCCCACCCCCGACCAGTGACCTTCCAGCTGGGTCTGTCAGGAAGCTTCCTCCAATGAAACTCTGACTGCTTCTCGTGATTCAACATATTGGGACAGACAATAACAAAAAATAAAGGAAACGCGATTTACAACAAAGGACAACTGTAACTACTTTTTCAATTGAGAGGCAAGTTTGACTTGAACAAATCTGATTCCTTGAGATGTTTTCATTTCACACACTGACACTTGTCCGTGTAGGACAACAGCTGGGGCTCGACTGAAATTAAGGCAACCCCTACACCCTTATATAGAGAACCGTTGGCCCTGGACCTTTGGAATAACATCAGATGCAAAAATATTTTGTTTTCAATATGCAGTAAAGCAAAATAGCAAAAGAGCTAAACTGAGGTCTAGATTTCACGGACAAAAGCAAGTAGGAATAATCATTAATCTATATCGTTACTAAAGAGTTGCTACACTGCAGAGAATGACATGTACAGTGCAGTTTTAAAAAAGGAAATTGAGATTAGTTTGTCAATATCTTGGACATGGTTAAATATTTTGGAAATTGGAAACCATCACTCATTAACTGCTGATGTCCTCTTTCTTATGGACACCAAGAAACTCATCCGATTTACTGTCAGGGATGCTGTGGAGAAACAGCTCACCGGCAACTGACTAGGAAGCAAAGCATTTCATATTGATAAAACTCAAGGCTTCTGATTAACTTTGTCTTCTCAATTTTGTGAATGAAAAAATACAAAAACTAACTAAGAGGGGTTCCATTCAGTCAAAGATACCTTTGGGGTGTGTGTACGGGCGTGGCTCCATCATCAGACAAGTCCGACGTCCATCTCATCAGCTTGGGTCTGCTCAGTGGGACGCTGCTCACGGCCGACATCTGCTTGTAGGGACTCATGTCTAAGTACTCGGGGAACATCACATGCTCCTCACGCCGTGAGGGCAGACCGTTGGTCAGCCAGGTGACTCGCTGTAGGTGGATGCACAGGCACTGTGGGAGCTGACCACAACAGAAAGATTGGAGATCAGTGCCAGCAGTCTACAGGTAAGACAGCATTTCTGTTACATGTTGGAACATCCTCCACTGCCATATGCTTTGTGCTTTGATTTCCAAAGGACCATCAGGCCCCCACATAAGAAATACTGGCTAGGCTCTACAGTTGCTTTCCTCAATCCTTGAATCTTCCGTGACTTCCTCATATCATGGACATCCAAGATTCTATGAAATTAAGGTGATTTAATATTGTTGCGTATTTCTGAATTACTGTTTTTCATTCTATGTTGCACTTAGGGCCGACGACCATTTAGACCCGGTTTGAAAAAGGCCCCCCGGTAAGCTCGCCCTGTTGCAAAAACCCCTTTCATACCGGCCTGGCTACCGGCCTGGCTACCGGCCTGGCTACCGGCCTGGGATGCTGGACTGGTCGTTGATCTCGAACTTCTCCATCCTGGGGTCTATTGTTTGCAAGTACTGGTACATGTAATCTATCCCAGAAGGAACGTGCTTGTGGTTTTTAATCCTTCAGCACTATACAATGTTTGCACTAATCCGCTCAAACCCCTATACCCTAACCCTCCTCAATCCTCCAACAGGTGAAGGATTGAGGAGGGTTAGGGTTAATCTGTGGAAGCATGGTGGGGGAAGACTTCCGTCAGGGACTTTGAAATGCCGACATGCAGACAGGCCTGATACCAGCCTGGAGTAGCCTGAATACCGGGCAGGCATTATACAGGGCGAGCTACCGGGGGCCCTTTTCAAACTGGGTCTAAATGGTCACCGGCCCTTATATGCCAAAGAGTTTTCTTCATCACTATAGCATCGTTGTGTATAAAGCTACTGAATGCAGTTGAGCCTTATCTCACGGCATTGTCTTGCTGCATGATTGCCAGAGTTATGCATCGCATTTGACTCTTGCGACCATACATGAATATGCATAAATGATTGACCTGCCCTGTGTTTCCCCGCTCTGCTTTTGCTCTGCCCTCCTTCATATGAGATACATGGACATAAAACGGATATACTTTTAAAAAACAAAGTTTCTGATTGTCTAATGAACAGGTTGGTGATTGGTTAAGTTATGCATGATTACCGTCTTAAATATCCCAATGCAAGTGGAAGGTTCAATGAACTACAAGAAGTACAGTACTGATGACCCCACGCTTAGCTTACCGCTTAGCTTACCACTTAGCTTACCGCTTAGCTTACCGCTTAGTGGACCGTGGATCCCCACTGGCTCCACAGGAAAGCACACATGTAAACACGTTGTGACATTTTCAGTACACCGAACAATATTTATTTATGGATTTGTTTGATTTATCTTCAGATTGATCATTTGTCATGAGAATCGAACATGATCATCAGCAGCAAACTGCCAAATCACTAATGGCGGAAGAGGGCCATTTCTGAGGTATTTTCAAGTAACATGGTTACAGTCAAACCTCGTTAATAAGACTTGTTAATACATTCTGCTAAATCCAAGGACAGTTTTAGGTCCCAGTCCTTTGTTTTTTAGTGTTTAAATTCTGGAATACACAAGGTTCCTGTAGAGGTCATCTGCAAAGTGCAAATATTAATGAGGTTTGACAGTCTGTTCATTCTCCCTTTTTTTCTTTCCATTATTCCCCTTTCCCTTTGTTTATTTTTCGATTATTTTTCGGGGAGGGAGGGAGAGGGGAATTTTCCACTTCTCCCTCCCTTCCTCACAACACCCATGGAATCAGGTTAATGCCATCTCAGAAATTAAAAGGCCGGGAGAGCCAGTCAAAGCCTTATTTAAAAACAACCCATCAACCTGAAAATGGTCACTAGATCAAAGTTTGTTTCTATTATTCCCGGCGGCGTCCTGCCAGGTATATGGTATCTTATTCTTAGATCTTTCTCAAGTTTCCCAGTCAAAGTATGTCTCCAATTATCCTGTCTGGAAGAAATTCCAAGGTGACCTTTTGTTTCCCCCCAATACACAAATCCGTCACTGATTTCGACTGGAGCCTGTCAGTGTACACACACAGCAGTGCCCGTGGCATGCAAGAGTGCCCCCCTTGGTAGGAAACCTGAGAAGCTTTATGGGGCCTTTGTCAAAACTTATCATCCTGGTCATTCATCAGGGAACTTTGTGTTTTCATATTCTGCTTTTGCCTGAAGGCAATGGCTGTCCCGGGGGACAGGCTGGTCAGTGCAAATGGGTGAAAGGGTTGTGAATTAAAGACTGGTGTGCCATTTCTTTCCAGACACAATCTAAAAAATCACAATTTACTTCATGCCAAAGGCTGGTTCATGCATGCACAGCAGCAAAGTGAAAGTGATTTTGGGACTTCACATCAAATATTCCTGCTGTGAATTGGCAAAACTTGAACACATTTCGACTCGATTACAGGTGAAGCTACAAACACGTCAAGTTCACTTCACTTTCACATTTGCCTGGCGGATGAACCAACCTTATTAGACACCAAGCTAACCTCAAAACCAACTCATCAAAAGCAAGTGTCACTCAATGAAGTAACAAGTTGGGGCACATGTCCCCCCAAAAGAAACTCGTGGCCCCCTCATTTGAAATGCGGCTTCAACATTTAGCCTTAGTTATGCCACTGGTGTCACTCTGATATTAGGGTGTCAAATAGATGAAAGAAATCACAAAGAAAAGAATACGTTTCACACATATATCATGTATATATAAAAACAATGCCAAAATGACAATTTCAGTTAGTTTTCGTTCATAGTTTGGGGAAGAATTAAAACAAGAGGGACGGACCTGTGAAATGTTCGATGTTATTGCACTAGGATCTCAGATTAAAAAACTATGGAAATCATACACATGTTCCTTACAACTAGTGACATATAGAGAGATTATGTCACACTGTAATGCCATTTAACGTACCACTGGGCACCCAGTAGCCATTTTGCCGGTTCTGGTATACATCTTATTTGTGCATGCCACAAGCCACGCCTACACTCTCACACTCTTTCTTGATCTGCAGTATTTACTTCCTATTTCTTTGTTTTCTAATTTTCCAGTGTTAAAAGAGGCAACAGTGGCGGAACAATTAGCAAAGTGGGGGAGGGGTG